AGGCTGACAACTCCCATTCTGTTCTGTTTAATGTAAGGACGGGTGGCTCATGCATGGTTTTCCTGTCTCGCTGCTCTAGTTGGTGCACCCGGGGTTTGCAGTCTATTCAGGGAAAAGTTATTTTCCCCGAAACTCAAAGCCTCACAGCTTTTAGTCTCCCGTATTGGATTGATGTCTCTCCTATCCATAAATGGCCCATTCCTGATAACCAGGGCGTCTGCTCTCTCAGTGCCTTTCACACCAGCACACCATGGGACAAAAATGAAGGTGATTTTGCGAAAAAGCTGCGCGCTGTACAAGTGTGCGACAATGTTTCTGTATGTACCCCGCCTTGATCTTCTGTAGCATGTAATTTGAGTTGCTGAGCAAACATGCATTGGTGAATTCCGGAGTTTTCAGCTGTCATCAAGTCTAAATCTGACCCTGCCTAGACCAGAACAATGAATGACCTGACCAGACCGACCTGATCGCCTTAAACATTGAAGGCAGGAAAGCAACCAGTGTTGTCACTTTTCTTTTCAAAAAACATCCAGAAAGGAATCAGAAAATATTTAAAAACATCTAAATTTGCGTGGAAAACATCTAGAAAAAACATCCAAATTGAAAGAGTCACAAATTACATAGCTATTGATATGTCTTGCCCTATAGAATCATTACCTTATCTTCACTGATGCCTGCATTTTCATCACTGTACATTCCATACAGGATTTCAGCTGTGTAGCACTTTTTCACTTTCTCTTGTTATTTCAAAGTGTGCCTTCAACTCCAACTATTGGTTCACAATTCTTTCAAAAGCTGGTTGAATTGATAACCATCTAGTTTTGCAATCTGACAGAATTTTCCGTGGTGTGGAACCATAATTCAAGGCTGTATATATTGTTTTGTATTGCTGTTGTTTGACAAATGATTTGGAAAACCAGTTATGTGTTTCAGCAATAAGCTATTCCAAAGTCCTTGGTAAACATTCAGACGAAGTATGTAGTAATGCTAGCTGTAATAAATGACACATACATTTTATAAGTATTAACGATAGATTAGCTTTCTTCAATTTGGCATCAACGCCATTGTTTGTACCAACCATTACCGAGGCATTATCGGTACCAATTGCAGCCAAATTCTTTAAGTCTAACTGTTTGCTGGTTAAAAGTTTCTTCAGTTCCTAAACTATACTTTTTGCATCACGTTTTCCAATTTAACTAGTCTAAGATATGTAGAAACTACTTTGTATTGTTTCTGTAATATATAATACACACACCAAGCACTTTCAGTACTGAAATATAATTTGATTCGTCTAATAATAAACTATATTTATTTGTAGAAATATCACTGATCAAATCTTTTTCAAAGTTAGAAAATAAAGTATAATATGTGTACACTTGCTGCGATGCACTTTCCAATCATCAATAACTTTACTGTCAGAAATAGTGTTTTTAAACAAATCAATCAAATGGTCACATTTGAAATTGCACAATGACAACTTAGAAACATTGAGACCGATTCATCAACTTTTGATGATTCACTAATCAGTATAGTTCTGAAAACTGATGTCAGTGGTGTAATATCTTTGAATGGAACTGCAGTTTTACGCTTTTTAGTCTCTTCATAGCTTTTTAAGTCTTGTATTTTCGCTTTCATTTCACACTTGCAGCACTTACAACGAGCCTTGGCCATATCCCCAGGAACTGCCATCACCCAGTCTTTGATTTTGTCATCATGCAACCACTCTTTCCAAAATTTTTGCTCAAACTTTACTTTTGGCATATTGAACGGTTTTTTTTTAAAAAGTGAAAGCCACATATGAAGGTGAGCAATTTTTTTTTTAATAACATGAAAAAAGAAACACACAGTCAGCACAGTGAGGATACGGTTGAAACAAAGTATGATTTACGTGCGCCTTTAATTAATCGGTACCGGCCTGCCAGATATTTGAGCGTTGACGCCAGTGAGAGTTCAAAATTTAAATAATCGCAGTTGTCACAATGTACGTGCCAGACGAAAACGAAAATATTGTAGTAAATATTTTACACAGTAATTATAAAACTGACACTAAAAAAAAAATATCTATAATTGATAACTCTAAATGAAAAACATCTACAAAACAATCTACCATCTAAACGTAAAAAAACACCATCTAAATGCAAGGAAAAACATCTAAATTTTGATGTAAAACATTCAAAGTGGTAACACTGAAAGCAACAGCTTTGATGCAGGCGAAAGTAATTGAGGAAACATGAAAAGAAGGCAGTAATAATGGAGGCAACATCTCGCTGTGTGTGACGGTGATTTTACCTTGGTGAGTTGTTATGTGTGTTTTTAATTGTTGTAAAGATGCCTTTTCATTTTAATCAGCGGTGAGTTGAGTCAAAAATGGACATCACAGCACTCAGGACATTCCAATGCATGCTCCGTCCTCATCTTTAGCAGCCAGCTCAGAGTTCCAATCTAATACTAATACTGATGGTAATCAATCAATCAGCGGCGAAGAGAAATAGAAATCAACTTAGTAGAGGTAACTTGATCTTAATCCAACAGGAGTTCACTGAAATATTATTAGAGAAGATATGTTTGTGTGTACCTTATTTTATCTTATTTTCGCCCATTGGAGCTTGGTGATGTTTGCACTTTTTCTGAAGAGTCGAAGTTGACGTAAGAGTGATTGTGATTGTCTTGTGACGTCTTGTCATTGTTGAGTCAGTCATTGACTCTCTAGAGTAATTACTAATACGAAGGTACTTCAGTCAAATTTTTAAAATGCCCTCTACACCAATAAAACCAGCACAGTTAGATAGCTGTAAACAATCTCTTTCCAATGGTACCTCATTTAGGCTTGTATGTCATTTCTGAGCTGAGATATGTAGGTTTTTGTGGAGATGAGATGTAAGAAACAGCCGCTAAAACTTGTGACCCACAAACAAGAAGTTTTTTGACTGCGCAACCTACTGCGCAGTTCTGTATCGGCTTTGTTGACATTGGACTGTCATTGGACAAGATGGCAGGCAGTGAGACTCAGCTCACTCAGCCGCATGCGATTGCCTAAAAAATGTCACTGTAAATCTAAACAGCCAGAGTCGGGAAAAAAAATTTAATATGCAAATGTAAAATTGGACGGAGAATTCAATTGTAACTAGCATTACCACAACTGGTAATGTTTAAGCCTAAAGCCAACCTCGAATTTACCGCTATTTTCAATCAAACTGATAGACTAACAGAAAAACAGAGAATGTCCGGCTGTCGTAGACATGCGCTGTTAATCGGGTTCCTTCCCGCCGTTTTCAGCTATTTAGAGTGGGTGAAAATCACACCAATGGCAAAATTTCATGAGAAATTAGGACCCATCCCGAAACCCCAGCCGACATTTCCAAAACAAGTTTTAAACGGTTTCTATGGTAACGGAAATTGTCGAAAAGATAGCAAATTTCCGAAACTGTAGTCCCTATAATACGTACTAATAGTCAAGTGACTCAATGTTCAAATGGAATCAGACAGGAGCACATCCCATCATTTTAACACCAAATGATGCAGAACCGGCCAGTCTATCTGCCTGCTCATTTCCCAGCACACTGGCTGTACCTGGAAAAATATTTGAAGGATGCTAACTACCCGTGACCTTTGAAGTGATGCTTGCCACTCTGCACGAAGCATGCCTGTCTCCACCTTTCTCAACATGCTCTGTGAGTTAGTTACAATGACGGCATTGATGGCATGTGTGTACAGCTGATTCTCAAACCAGCAGAAGGCAGCAGTGACTTCCTCCACCTCCATTCTCAAACTAGACGTGATATATGCAGGCATTGTTGCACCAAGCGACGTCCATTTGCCTTCGCTATGAACCCCCTAGCCAACCATATAACTATAACACAGTTATATTGGGGCACCCAACCATTATCAAATAACCTTATGTCCAGTACTAGGAACTTGAACTAGGAGTAAAATCAAACGTTACATAATAAAAAGTTTAACATCAGAGCACCAAGGAGTGGTACTGGAATTTTGAAATTTCACTAGTGTAATATATTAAAACAGACCCATACATTCATACAATTACTACAGTGGGCGTGTAGACACATCATTATGACCAGGGAATGTTGAGAAATAATATTCGAATACAGCCTGCCACAAAAGATATTTCAGAAACTTGGACAATGAACAAGCAGCTAAAAAAATCGAATGAAGTCTCTGGAAATGTGGGTATATAAAAGATCATATTTCAGGGAAACAAAAATAGTCCAATACAGAGGTTCTAGAAAGACTACAATTGAAAAGAGAATTACTGAAATAAATAAAAAAGAGACAATTTACATATCTCAGCCACATTAAAAGGCATAGCGCTTTTTTAAAAACCATACTGGAGGGAAAGGTCAAAGGCAAGAAGTGGGCAATAATAAAAGTTGCAGGATAACATCATTTTTAATGTTTAATGCATCAGGATTTGATTTCCATGTTGGTCGGTTTAGAATACTTGTGGCTTTGCGACAAAGTTATGAGAGTTATATTGTGAAAGAGACTAAAGCCTCACTATGTAATATTCACAAACACAGCAGTAGATATCAACTACAGTCTTCTTCCATTGTGAAAAAACACAATTTTTTATTTTAAATTAGTGTATTTAAGACTAATAAGGGCAGTGACTGCTCTGGATTTTATTAGAAAACAACAAGTGAAATGGTTTGGCCATATAATGCACATGCTAACAAACAGTATCCCACGGCAAACAATGATACAGACCAGGCAGGAAATGAAGCAAAGGTCGACCATGCAAACAATGGACCGAGGGAATAACAGAGTCCCCATTTACGAAGCACACAGAAGGGCACTTTCCTGTAAATTATACTACACCTCGACACCACAGGGTAAGAGATAAGTCTAATTGTCCTGTAGTAACAGCATATGAAATTATCCAGATGCATGACATATAACAATTTTTACAACGATTTAATTTCAGATATAATCCTACTAGTACGGTTGCTCAGACTTTGACGGTGTTTCTTGGATGCCAAGAAATGGAGAAACTCTGCCATATAATCCCATCTGTTCCATCTTTAATAGCAAGACAGATATTAAGGGATACCCTTGCAGCGTCTACACCAGTGTCATGGTCCTGTAAACGATATATTCATTTTACCTCTTCAAGTTTGAACCAAAAAAATGAACCCAAACCTGCGTCTGACATGTTTACCAACCCGGTAGATAGTCTTCAGCCAATGGTACAGGTCCCAATTATACCAGAATCAGAAGCAGCTTTCAAACCAACGCGGCAAGAAATTGAAGAAGCCTCACGACTATTTGAGCCTCAAAACCACAAAGGTGAAAAATTTCAGTTTTTGGGATCGTGGCCTAATCCTCATATTATGCCAAAATGGAATGTTCCAGAGGTGATTATGTTAATTTGAACTTGTGTTTCTGTAAATACTGTTGTATCTCATAATGTATTAGAACAGCATTTCCCCAAGCTTTTCTTAGTCGCTGCACCTTTTTTTTTTCAAATTAAATTTTTCCATGGCGCCCTAACCTAAGTAAAGGTTTTACTATTCGCATGTCAGAGATTTAAAAAAAAAAAATTGTGTGTCTTCGGATATTTCACGGCACCCCTATTAAGAAGTCGCAGCTCCCCGGGGCACCGCAATGCACAGTTTGGGAATCACTGTATTAGAATATATTTGTTAATACTTTTGTAACTCTTGACAGAGAGAGGAGACAGTGAACTTTACCATACAAAATCTTAAATGACTCATGGCTTCACTGTTTTCACTGGCGCTGGTGAATTAGAAGTGACCAAGACCTTATTCCAGCACCAAGTGGTTTCCAAGACAGTATTCCAGCTCCACTGATTTCCAAGACAGTATTCCAGCTCCACTGATTTCCAAGACAGTATTCCAGCTCCACTGATTTCCAAGACAGTATTCCAGCTCCACTGATTTCCAAGGCAGCATTCCAGCTCTACTGATTTCCAAGACAGTATTCGAGCTCCACTGATTTCCGAGACTGTTCCAGCTCCACTGATTTCCAAGAGTGTTTAGTTGTTTCCATGACCTTTATCCTAAATCCATTTTTCACCTCCAAATGATGGCCTTGGGGAAGGCCTGGTCCGAAGATTAGGGATCAAATAAGGAAGGCAAGTCTTGTCTCCAAAGAAAATTCCATCCTGAAGTCAGATATGCCAGTAAACAGGAGCAAATATTGCGTTTCCACTAGCACTCCTGGGGCAACCACTGACTTTTTTAGGACCCCAAAAAAAAGTAGTGACAGTTGCATAAAGCAGTATTTGAGTTGTGGTTCACCTAGTACAGATGTGCTCCCAGGTGGACTCGGCCTAAGATTGGTACCATCAAGTGTTCTGGAAAGTAAAAGTGACTGAAATGATGTTGTCCATGTTGTCCATGTTACTTAATTTTGTCTAATTGATCTATTTATTTAAAAAAAATAGGTCTGGCACCTTATATGCCTGATGTGCTAGTGGCATGAATGTAGACCTTTACATTTACAAACGTTAATACTTCATCGTCTTCTTCTTCTTTTTCTTCTTAGCTTTCACCAGTTGTAAACTCTGGTAGTAAGTTCTGGTTGTTCATACATTTCTGGACATTGGTCTTATTCCAGAACTTGAATTTCATGTGCATCCATTTTACAGATCTGTCTTATTTAAGTCAAGTTGTGGTGAGTCAAGAATTGACATCACAGCATTCGGGGAATTCCCATGTGCGTTCCATCCTCATTTCCAGCAGCCAGTACAGAGTTCCAGTACTAATGGTACTGATTGTAGTCTGGTTATATGTCCGTCTGGTCTTTCCTCTGAGTGTACGGTAAGCCAGCCAGACCCTCTGATTACATCCAGGTGCCTCATTCTCTTTAGGCCATAATAATCTTGTTTCTCTTCTGACTTCATTACATGTTCTTAAAGGCCTTGACCACATCTACTGTGTCATGTACACCCAGTGGTGTAGATCCAGTCAGTCTTGTCTGCCTTTTCATTCCCCACCACACCGGCATGACCTGGAGAAAAGATCCAAAGTATGCTCACTATCTTCCCAGTGAAGCTTGCCACTCTGCACAAAGCATCCCTGTCTTCACCTTTCTAAGCATGCTCTCAGTCTGTTACAATTACAATGTGTGTATGCACCTTGTTTTCCAGCCACCAGAAAGCTGCAGTGACTGCCACCATCTCTATTCTCATGCTAGATGTTGTGGTATCATATGCTAGGCTGTCCTGCACTAAAGTCACTTCTTTTCCCTCTCAACACAGAACCATCTGTATAGATAATCAGATCATCTGGGTGAGAATTGTCGTGAATTAACTGTTAGACTTCCACCTCTGTAGCACTTGCTGGCCACGCTCTACATAGGTCAGACTTTTCCTCTGGTACTCTGACCCAATCCTCTCCTCGCCCAGTGTTCTCCAGCATGCATAGATCTGGCTTATTTGTGTGCATTCTGGCTGATTTAGAAGGAAATACCCTAATTTGTCACCCTTTCAGACATGCTTGTTAGGGCACAGTTGGTCCCACCCGCCAAAAATGGGGCCCTGGAACCCACATTAGCAAACATACTTAATACAGATATTATCTATTTTAACTTGTTTCCAGTGCTGGCTGTTTCATCACTGTTTTATTTGTCAAAACACATAATTTTTTGGAGGTGATTATTTGTGTCACTATAAGCATTATATGTAAAAACTTGAGAGGGTGGACTTATTGCACGGGGTTTGATACCATATGCTTGATCTCTCTCCGTAGAACAGCTAGCGGTCTGCAGAGAGCACTGCACAAAGAATGAACACCATGCTCTGGTGACGACACCCAGGGGTCTTAAAAACTGCACTTGTAAAATGAACACACGACTTTTAGAACACAAGGCTAACAGTTAGACCACTTTGCCATGGAGAACCTCATAAGTTTTATGTGTAAAGTAACATTAGGAGGAGAAGAATAAAACTATCAATTAAGATTAATCAGTGGTAAAGGAAGTGTCAGAAATGTGGACTATCTTTGGATTTATTTGTGACTTGTGAGTTTCCTGATGCCAAAAGAGTTAAGTTCTATTCTCTATTATTTCTTTACCATTCAGAGTCTCCAGTTATTATAGTAAATTGTACTGCTTTTTCTTTAACTCCCCACATACAAAATGAGCTTCTTGAAATGTATACCCATTTCCACTTCCTTCCTAATCCATTTTAGGTTCCTTTATGTGTTTATTGTGTTTCTCAATTCACTAGGAAACTCAAAACCGTGCGCGCATGTTTAAACAAAATTGTATGTTAGTATAGTTCCACAACTTTGTGTTTCATTCTTTTAAGATCTAAATTTTCTGTATGAAGTTCTGAATCAAGGATCATTACGTTTTACATAATTATTCAAACTTTTAGGGCCCCCTGGCTAATGCTGTCACCTTGGACTTTGCAGGTTAGGATGTTTACCCCCCCGGTAAAGTGGTGGAGCTTTTCTTGGGGGGGGGGAGAAAACATCCTAGCCTGCAAAGTCCAGGGGCCCTAAATCCTCAGGCTAAAGCCCCAGCCCCGTCTACACCGTCCTAAAAGTGGTAAAACAGACAGTATGATAATACAGTAAAACTGTTTCAATAAACGTGGAAATAAAACTGATCAGTTTTCTTTCTTGTGTAGTTCAGGCTGCTTTTTTTTTTTTTTTTTAAATCTTAGAGTTTAATAGTTGTAATTCCTCTCCATACAGATTGCATTCATTGGCAAAAGCAATGTTGGCAAGTCTTCTCTTCTGGCAGCCATGTTTGCCCAGATTCCTGAATTGAAAGTGCGAGTATCTAAAAAGCCTGTAAGTAGTTTCTGTTTATTTGTCAGTTTTGTAACATAATTAGAGGGTGGGGGGGTCTGTTCTCGTTGGTTTCGTTCAGTGGTGCAAGAGCAATGTCTTTCTTGCTTTTTGGTACAGGATATTTTGAGTGGCCGCTGTTGTGGGCGCCTGCCTACACTATAAGAGATACGGGCAACCCAGGTATCTGGCACCTTGAGCACCAGAACAGTTAGCACACTTGAGATTGGTGTTTTGTTTCTGGTAGTTGATGTCAGTCCTGGCCAGTGGGCACTTGTTGTATGGGTGTGGCCTTGAATAATATCTGCTGTTGTTGATTTTGTTATCGATCCAGCGGCGCATGAGCTTTCGCCCTTTGGCCTAATGCCATGTAGTGGAATTTGCATGTTTTCACAAGCTGTTCTTTTCCTACGTACAAGGTGTTCCACTTGTCTGGTCTCGGAGGGAGTAGCATTCTTCTAGTCTCGCTGAGTTTTGGGCACTCAAAGAGGTGGTGTTCAACAGTTTCATAGGGATAGTTACATAGCTGGCACTCTGGGGGGTGTTGTGGCTGTATTCTGTTTAGATGTCCACTGAGTGGAGTATGTTGTGTTCTAAGTCTGAAGATGGTGGCCTGGTCCCTTGTTAGATGGTTAATGCTGACATTAGGATCAGGGCCAGCCATATGTCTATAAACCTCTCTTCCAGTGTCTCCCATCTGTTCAATAAGTCTCTTTGTTTATGGCTCTTATAAATGTTTTTGCTGTCTATAGGGTTGTCGCTGTAGGTGGTTGTTCTTGTGTTGCTCCTTTCTTTTCCATCTGTCAGCTCTGTCATTACCTGGTGTGCCGGAGTGGCCTGAAATCCACTGCATAACTATTCTGATGTTGTATGAGGTAATAAGCTGATCAGCATCCAGGATTATCTTGGCTATGTCAGTTCTGCAGCGTTCACTGCCTTCTAGAGCTTGAAGGGCAGACATTGCATCTGTGAAGATGACAGTATTTTGGGCCTTTGAAGGGTAAACATCCATTACAGTCTTTAGGTGGTATACTGCTGTTTCCAGTGCAATTATTTCAGCTTCATAATTTGAGCAGAATTCCCCGCATGCATCAAAAATATCTTCAACAGATCCATCGGAATAACCTATGTAGATTCCATAACCTGCTTTAATGGTAGCTTTAAATGCAGATCCATCAGTATAGACATGTATCCATTCTTGGGGGTAAGAATCAACGGTCTTTATTGATAAGTTCATAAGAGTGATTGGGTCGGACTGTTTGGTTTCCTCGCCTACCAATTTAATTTGGACTTCTGAAGCTTTAAAGCGAGCATGTGGTGGTAGGTTTCTTGCAACATTCTGAATGCCTTGACGTCTTTCTGGGAGGTGGTATCTGTCCTGAATTTCATGAACACAGTGTAAAACCGATTTGTGCTTTATTCTATGTTTGTATTCCAAGTTTTCTACAAGGTGTCTATTAGGATAGTTACAATTCTTTCTAATGCATCTTTCATAAATTTCTAAAGTGGCTTTTTCTCTCCTCAACCCGAGGGGTTTCACATATTTGTAACAACTGCAGGTAATATTACTGCGGCAGGTCACAGCTGTATGACACGCCTTCTAGCAGTGGGAACATTGCAGAAATTGCAGCACAAAGCTTTCCTGAGTCTGTCGCTATTTCTTGTAGCTAATTTTGACTGGCAGGCTGTTGTCTACTATAGTTATAACTAGGGCTGTACCGAATATTCGCTTCCTATTCGCTTTGGGGCCGAATAGTTGCGGTCGGGCCGAATACGAAAAGTGGCTAAGACACCCGTTTCTGGACTGGTGGAAAATAATCATATCAAAATTTCCCACCTTGGTTCATACTGTCAAGCGTTATCTTTGTGCACCGCCTACGTCTGTTTCGTACAGCTGGAAATACCTTCAGTGAGACAAGAAGCTGCCTTAATGTTGACAACATGGATCGAAAGTTGTTTTTTTTTTAAAGCTAATGCCGCTTTCATGGATTAACTAAGCTGTCTGTGACAATTTACAAGTTTTGTTACTTGTTATAAAACTAAGAATACTTTCATTCCTAGGTATTAGTTACCACAGACTGACTGATTGAAGGATGCAAAACATGAAATGTTTTTAAATGTTTACTTTTCTGTACTACATTTTGTGAAGCAACATTTCAGCGTAGATTTGACATTATGGATGTTTTTTTGTTGTTTAGATCTATTTTATACACTATTCGAAAGTGGAAGAATGACTTCAGTTTTAATAGTGAGAAGACAGAAGTAATGGTGGTATCAAAGAAAATAATTATTCCTAATGTGTAATAAAAGTCAATGGTTTTATTTCGGGACAAGTACAGAAATTTAAGTATCTGGGCACATAGATAACATCAGATGGAAAATGCATTACTGAAAAAAGAAACAGAATAGGACAAGCAAAAACTGCATTTTATAAAATGAAGAACATCCTATGCAATATATCTTTGTCATTTAAGGTTAGAAAAAGAATTCCTGCTTGCTACATACATCCCGTTTTAACATATGGCTGTGAGTCTTAGACAATCGGTAGGCAGGCCAAACAATTTTTTTGAGGCCTCAGAGATGTGGTTTTACAGAAGAATGCTTAGAACACCTTGGACAGCCAAAAAGAGCAACCAAGAGGTTTTGAAAGAGGCGGGAACCTGAAGACAACTTATCACAGACATCAGAAGGAGACAGTCATCATTTTTCGGCCATGTTATAAGATGAGGCGAAATGGAACATGTGGTGATCACTGGAAAGATATGTGGAAGGAGGGATAGCGGAAGACAACGAGAGAAGATTCTTGACAGTCTTGCTGCATGGCATGGAAGTGTGTCGGCACACAAACTGATACATGCTGCAGGAGATCGTAGATTGTGGAGAGGCATAATCGCCCATGCCAGTTGGCAAGGCACCTGATGACGATGATTCACTATTCGTATTTGGCCGAATAGTTGGTCCAGCTATTCGTATTCGGCCGAATAGTGAAAATCACCATTCGGTACAGCCCTAGTTATAACAGCTGTAGTTGTAGTTGAGCCTCTGGACTTGATCCATTCAGCTTTGACAATTTCCATGTTCGAATTTTGCTCTGAACCTGTTCGTGGATCTCATTGTCGGTCAATTTTGGGTCCACACATTTTAGCATCCATCACCTAATGCTCTTGTCTTTACTGGCGACGACGTTGATTTCATGAGGGAGCCGAAGCTCTGATGCAGTCCCTTTCTGTGTGTCATTTACCAGTGCTTGGGTTCTGTGAGTTTCGGACATGTAGCAATTACACCGTCCTTCGGTTTGCAAATTTGTGAGATTGTCTGCTTTCCCAGTAATATTTCAAGTAGTTGAATGATCATTTTTGTGGTCATAGTGGCTAACTTGGCTTGGCCTTGATTCATCTGAGCAAATTTGATCTTGGCTGGGAATTGCAAGACATCAGTTTCTTTGGTTGAAGAGGCGGCTGATGTGTATACTGTCTTGTGTGTGTAACCCGGTGTGTCTCACTTCCAAAACCACCGGTTGAAAGTCGCTCCATGACAGTAGGTGTAACAAGTTGCCTGACTTGTCTGATCAATGTGAGTCGATCTAGGTGAGGCTGTGGTGTCTCTGCTGGTACTTGACTCTTGGCTGGTGGATTCAGTAGACATTGGGCTCTTGGTGCGGCAGACATCATCCAGCTGAATGGGCCTAGTGTCAGTGGATTCTGCTGGCTGTGGTTCATGACTCAGCAATACTGGCCAGCACGTGGTTTAGATCAGGCTTGACAGACTTCTCCTTTGTCTCGGGGGCAGCTTGTTGTTTATTCTGCTTCTTTGTTCTTCCTATGTTGGAAATACATAGTATCTTGATAGTGCTGCTGATTGCTAACTTAGCGAGCTAAGTGAGCAACTTGTCTGGCTGCGAGTGAGAGCTGTGAATGCTGTGGTGTCTGATGCCTGATACAAACAAATATTTAGCCATTGTCACTCAGATAAAAGAGTATATTTATGGGACTTTTATTACTATATTTTAAATAGCTTCACTGTCTACCGTATTTCCCCAAGTATAAGACACACCTCGATTTTGAAACTGGAAATTTAAAAAAAAAATATTATGTAAAGTTTTAATCATCATAGAATCCAGACAACTCATATTGTGAAAACCCATCCATATGATGGTTCTTTAGCTTGTCCTCGTTCTATCTGATGATGAATCACTCTTCATATATTGCCTCATTCTTAGTTCCATCTGAATGACTTGACAAAGATCTCAGTCTTCAGAGTATCCCAGGATCTTTTCTCCCAAACTTCTTCTGTAGTTGGTTTCTTCACACTACATGCTGGTGTCAGATTGTCCCCCAGAAGACTTTATCCAGGTTTGTTAATGCTGACATGAGGTGGTTGAATCTTCGTGGAAACAGGAATTTCTAATGTAACAAGTGGGAATAATATGTATGAAGAGAAGCGCAAAAACTATTACAGCGCTAAAGAACTTTTAATTTTATAATTTTTTCATATTTTATTTTGCCGCTGAACTGGCATTCACAGATGAGGCCATGTACAGGATATTTTGTAACAAATCATTTGTTTAAAAAAATATTCTACAATTGTATATGACACACACTGTTTTTAGACCCTGTAATTCTGGATGCATGGTTCTTATACTTGGGGGGAATCCGGTATATAATTGGTTATTCTTGCAGGGTCACACAAAACTGATGAATGTGTTCAATGTAAATGACTTGTTTCACCTGGTGGATATGCCAGGGTATGGATTCAACATGCCTGACCACTTTGAGACCAGTGTGGAGGCTTACCTGAAGTCACGGCGCAGGTGAGTTTTCTCAGCAAATTAATTTACATAAGTTCTGTCACTTTTCCATTCTGTATGAGGTTTATTTTTTTTAAAGGTGTCCAACATATCTTCTTTTTCAGCATTCCAAGCCCTTGGGGTTCAGTGCTGCAGCTATCCCCACCTCCGTTCATCTCTCTGATTGGCCTTTTCTTTCTAGTTAGTGTCTGCAAATGTTTGTAGGTCTCCCTTGTATTAAACTTCACTGTCATCTTGGTCAGCATAGTAGTCTTCTCCCTGTTAAATCTTCTGTGCATGCATTTTTGTCTCTGTTGTTTAACATTCTCTCTATATCCCCCAACCATCGCAGTAAATGGCGAATTTTATTGTTGCTTCTCGCATTCCATTATCTAGTGTGTGGTGAGGAAAAATTAATGCAAAAGATGTTCAACTCTAATTCCCTTTATAGTTGTCTTCTGACTGCATACACTTCTCCCAATAACCGCATGACCATCCTTTCCCCTCCAGGACTGTAGTCTACTTTAGGCTAGTACTTTATGTAAATCTTACAGTGTCCGATTTATAACTTCTGTCATGTCTTCCTTAGGGAACAGATTAGCAACCCTTCCATTTTGGCAGTATCTCAGAAAGACCACTTTAGTAAGTGGAGTACAGTTTGGCTATCAAAAGATTTATTCTCAAATCCAGTCTCTTTCAGTAGCATTTTCAGCGTTTTGGTTTGAGTATAAAAGAACAGGCAGGTGCGTTGTCATTACGTAGCTGCCATTTTTCAGTTGCCAGCTGGCCCAGCTGTTTGAAATATATAAGCAGCAGATCACTTTTTTGTATCATTCTTTGTTTTGCACACTCATAGTGCACCAACCTACAACATACGAGTTATGGGCCATTTTGAGGAGAAAAAGAATAGACCCATTACCTTGAACTGGCATGTCATAAAAGGTAACTAATTAAAGGGTTTGTTGGAAATGGATGTGATGGGCAAAAAGGTGCAGATACCACAACCTAGCTGTAAACCTCAACTCAAGGTTCCAACAACCCTTTTAAGAGCTAATGCAGAAGGAGAAGAAGAACACAATGGTCAGCATGTGTTGGTATTGCTGCAACCTACAGCAGCATTGGCAAGTGTCCAAGAAGGCTTTCTGGCAGCTCCTGATGTCAGAGACATTGAGCTCCCCGTGTGGGTTCCGGTGCCCCATTGTGGGGAAAACAAGAATAGACCCACTGCCTCCCCAAAAGCATGTCGTAAGAGTTGACTATTTGGGGAGCTTCCTTTGAAAGTCTCCAGGCAAGGAACCAAAGGCTGTTTCTGAGATCTGCAGCTCCTGAGGTCTGGAGCAGAGAGTTCAGTTGAGCAAAGAACTTTCCGCCAGAGTTGATGGACCTGTGATGAAGAAGAGACATGAGCAAAGGACCTGATGTAATGATGATGACTTGTAGATCAATAATATACTTGTAGATATGTAATTGTTTTAGTCATTATCTATGATCCCTACAAAAATACTGACCTTGTATACTAAGTTTGGTGGTGATTTTCTTTTGAATTTTACATATATCTTTGTGTGCTGAAAGCTTCTCTTGCCTTTTGTAGGCTACTTTTTACGTCCTCTGTATTTTCGGTCAGCGGGTTCTGAGGACCATTTTGGAGAATAAGGAATAGAGCAACAGCCCCCCCTCCCTCCCTTACCACCAACAAGCGTTTCATACAGCAGGACTAATTAGGGGTGTTTCCTTCTTAGTTGGCGTACATCTGCCTGAGAGGCAGTGAACCAACAGTCTACATACACATAAGCCAACTCTGTGAAATGGATGTGCATGCAAAATTCCAGTTTTGGAACAAGACTGAAGTCCAAAAGTAGACAAACAGCTAGAACTTTCTACCAGATATTTACAGCTGGTGAAAGCTTGAAAGAAGAAAAAGAATTTATCTGTATTTATGCAAATTGTTCCCTTATTATGCCTATGATTCCATTCTTGAAAGTGAGAGGCTAGGATAACATTTGTTGTTCCATTTATTCTCTTTCTGTTTTGATTTTTTTTTCTTCTGCCCTTTATCCCCAGCCAAGTCTTCTTGTCCCTTTCCATCTTAGCAGCTCACTCCATGTGTTCCCATTTTAATCACCTGTCTCTAACCTCCATCTCATATTCTATCTCTTTGTGTACTTTGTTTGGTCTAGCGAGTTCCATTGCAAAGATTTTCTAGTTATTCTACAGTCAGGTTTTCTCAATGACTGTCCTGTCCTGTGCCGGCATCTTTCCCAAACTTTTGATTCACTCGAATTTGCTTTGTTTTCTCTCAGAACTCCACAAAATTCAATCTGAGATACGCTTTTAGTTGTTATGTTCTTTACAGTTACTAGTTAAAAAATGTTTGTGTTGTGTCAGTAAGTATTTTTCTTATGCTCTGTGTTTATCTGGAGGTAACTAGAGGAAGTGAAAAAGAAGAAGCCACAATTTGTTTATTAAGTTGTTGTTTTTTTTTTTTTCAATGTATGCAGCTAATCTCTCGACTATAATATCATTTTACAGTCTGTATAGAGTATTCATGCTAATTGATGCCACAACTGGTCCTGTAGGCTTTGACAATATAGCCGTAAATATGATGGAAGAAATGGCAGTACCATATGTTGTAAGTTGTTTGAAGGCCAAATTAGTTTTGCTTTATTTCTGTGTACAGCAGAGGGATTGAGAGTGCTTGTCATCAAAGAGATTGCCTGCTGAGAAATTTTCTCACACATTTTTTTCTCATATTTTGTGTGTGTGTGGCTTAGCAGCTATTTCTTCTGCTACATTTGCCCTTAACAGGAAATTTCAATTTTGTGTTGTGGTTTACAACTATGCTGGGATATCTGCGTCATCCCTGCCCACCACGCTTGGTTGCAGCAAACTCTTAATTAGTCATATGTGATAATAACCGGTGTAGTGAAGATGATCCGCTTGTTTTAAACATTTTTCTTTTAAATATCCATTATTATTTGTTCAGTACTCTCTGACGGCAAGCTCTTCTCACTCTCTCTGGTCTGATCAGCAGGTATAAGTGTGTCAGCACCATACTGTCAATATTATAAAGCGTCCATATTGTCTGTAACATAACATTGTCCTCATAGGAAATCTCTACGTATTTTTACATTAGGGGTATGCTTTCCTCATATATATATATATATATATATATATATATAAATATTTTTTTTTTTTTTTTAATTATTATTATTTTGAAATTTTAGAGATGTTGAGTGAATATTATTGAACATAATGAACAGTTTTAATGTTTTTCAGCATAATGACTTTTATTCTTTTTGATGGGTCTGTCGGAATGACAAAGAATGATCAGAAGTATTTCAAAAGATATTCAGACCTGAATCTTCCACTATGTGTATGTATCCCAAGCTACTGTTTCTTAATAGCTACAAATATTTACATAACTCATTTCAGCCAAGGAAAATTGCTACAACTATGTTACGCATATAACCATTTATAAGGGAACTTCCTCTACAATTTGGCATCATGGCATAGAGAATCATCATCTGTATCAGAAATGTTGAAAGTACATAAGACAGAAGGCTGTGGAAAAACTTGACTACCAATTCCATACAGCATGGTTGTAAGTGAGAAGAAGAAGAAGAAAGGGACCTAGCAGATCATTCATTGTCCTGCTGTGCCATTGTATATCACATAGGGCTCACGGTCTGTTTGTCCATTACATTCTATCCTGTACAGTCACTTCAGTATCCCCCATGTGGGTTCCGGGGCCCTGTTATAGGGAAAACAAGATTAGACCCACTGCCTACCCAAAAGCATGTCGTGGGAGTCGATTAAATAGAAGCTTCCTTCAAAGTCGGAGTGCATCTGCCTGAGATGCGATGCAAGGAACCAGCAGTCTGCATACAAATGAGTCAGATCTGTAAAAAGAATGCACACGCAGCACTCATCCAGAAGTGGATGAACAGCCAGAACTTTCCACCAGAGTTTACAGCTGGTGAACGCTAAGGAGAAAGAACTTCAGTATCATGGATAAAAACCAGTCTAGCACCTTTGGTTTATTCTCGTCGACGTTCGCCCTTGGGTGTCTCTTGTATGTCCCCATTTCCTCATCCATTTGTTTGCCATTTGAGAGCCTTTTTGGTGGTTCTCTGTTAATTTATTCTCCTCAGAATCTGTTCAATATAGCCAACATCAGTTTCTTAAAACTACATCAGTAGCCGTTTAAATCTGCAACTTTACTGGGGCCTTATGTGAAACAAAGAATAGTATTTCACTTTGCTAAACATATATAGAAAGATTCTCAGAGTGTCTTGGACAAAGAAGAGAAATACTGACATCTTGAAAGATCTGAACATCAAGGAAGATTGGCTAATAAGAAGCATCCTGCCTCAGAAGCTGAAATATTTTGGTCATATCAAACGCCACGACGGATTGGAAAAAATAATAGCTGAAGTCATGGTACCAGAAAGGAGGGGCAGGGGCCGACCGACAGGATGGTCACAGGATATAAAAGTGTCCCCTTGAGTATGAAAGCACACGAGGCGTGAGAGCTGGCGAGAGACCAAGTTTCTTTCAGGCAGACCTTGATGAGAGCGATGTTATGCAAAGGACCTGCTACATGATGATGATGAAAAATATCTTACGATGCAACTAAGGGTCGGGCTAGCTACCCAACCCATAAACCCTTCGGCCACAGAGGCTAACAAACTGATAATTGCTCAAGTTCTTATTGTGAGTTGGTTTAGAGCCTGTTCTCCATTGGGAGAAAATGGACAGAAGAAGTCCTCAAAATGTAGACCTGTGAATGCAGTGCTCTCACCTTTGTGAATCAGTTTTTGATTGAATTCTCTTCACATGCCATCCTTTTTCAAATGTCCTGAAACATCTGTCTCCAATATTTGGTAACTCTTAGGCACAGATCCCTGCAAACAGGTAGAGAATTTCACCTTCAGGAGAAGACATTGAGTTGTCAAGAGTAGTCAACTGAGTAAAATTGTGGGTTTTCCTTTTTCTTTTTTTAAAGAGATGAGAGTTACGTCTCATTATGTAATGAAAACACTTGTAGATATTCAAGGAAAAGTAGTGATTTGTTAACAAATGAGCAAAACTGTGATTGTTTGTTTGTGTGTGTGTATAGAATTAGAAAATAAAAGGTAGAGGGTTTGATTATAGAAATTCTATACAGTATGTTGAGTAGCGGCTTGGTTCAAAAGGTATAAATGTAAGAAATTTTGCTTAAAATATCAATCAAAAGTTACCTATATGTTTTTTGTTTTGTTTTCCAAGATTAACTATTTTCACTTTGGGAAAGGTGAAATTGCCTCTTCTTCTTCTTGCAGTTCATGTCATATATTATCAACCTATTTTAACTTTGTTGAAAGAAAATGGGTTCTTTTGTCATATCCTACCCCAAACAGAAGAAATCCACAGGGCACTGGACAGTCTAATATTTCAGGGGGTGGTAGATAGGCTGCATGCAGTCGTGGGATCTAGGCTGCACGCTCTCTCGGGATGTAGGTGGGTTAGAGTCAGTTCTAGATGTTTTGGGGTCGTTAAAGGCATCAGACAGCCGGGAAACACAGTCTTACCACCCTCTAAAATGTTGAACTGTCCTGTGATGTCATTTGGGGTAGGATATTGCGAAAGAACCAGAAAATTGTCTCTTCTTCTAACAGTCCATGTTGTATGGCATTGGCAATCATATCTGTCCACAGCTTTCTATTTTGTTTACCATCAGTTCATTTCTAATACGAGTGTTCTTCATCTCTCTTGGTCTGGCTCTAAATTTATTTCAGTCTGTTTTTCCTCTTATCATCATACCCTTTGTTTCTACTTCTCGCGATGCACTTAAAAAATTGTAAATTGTCTTTTGTGTGTGTAATGCATGTGATCTTTGTGAGTAAATTTCTTTCAAAAAAATTTTCCTTGTGCTTTTATCTGCATGGTGTTTTCATCTTATATATAGCTTAGGGAATTATATATAGTTGAGCTATTAAACTGTAGAGATGAATTACCTTATTTTTTTCTCTATAAATGACCATTGTTTTAAATAATTTGCAGATGGTTCTCACAAAAATTGATTTGGCTAAAAGCTCATCGCTGATTCGGAGCATTATGTCAGTTCTCAAATTCCGTGAAGAGACAAAGGCAAACTCATGCTTCCCACAGCCATTTCTTGTCAGGTGAGAGGTTAACATGACATTACCCCGGATGATGTCTTATTGTATGAAAACACTGATATGACTAATCAAACAAGCATCTTTTTTTTCAGTATTTGTTCTTAGCAAGAGAAAATTCTGGTTGGTCGTCTGCTTCCATACTTAAGTTTTCTTCCATGTACACCCATTTTACAGATCTGACTTACTTGTATGCAGACTGTTGGTTTCTTACTTCTCAGGCAAATGCACTCTGACTTCAAAGGGGAAATCCCCTAAAGTTAGGGAAATTAAATACCTAGGAAATGTGATCACAGAAGATGGCAAAATTGACAGAAAAATATAAACCAGATGTCAGAAAGCAAGTGCACTTGTGTTAAGCTGAGTCAGGAACTGACATCACAGCACTCGGGACATTCCCATATGTGCTTTGTCTCCATCTTGAGCACCCAGCGCTGAGTTCTAGTATTAATCGTGCCGGCTGTAGTCTGGTTGTATGTCCGTCTTTCCTTTCCTCTGAGCGTAATGTGCCGGCCGAACCCTCTGGTCACACCTAGGTGCATCATTCGCTCCAGTTGTTAAAAATCTACTTTCTCCTCTGACTTCATTACTTGTTCCCAAAAGGGCTCTGACCACATCTGCCTTGTCATGTATCAATTCACCACCTAATGGTGCAGATCAAGCCAATCTGCCTGCCTGTTCATTCCCCACCACGCTGGCATAGCCTGGAGAAATATCAATGCCAAAGATGGACATTATCTAAAGCCCATTTGCAAAAAAAAAATCACCACTTGTCAAATGAGATGCCCGAGAAAAGCTGCCCTTCTAACCGTTTGAGATAGGGTGAAAAATGATATTTCTTTTGCATTCATCCGAAGATGTTATTGCACTGTGTCCATTTACAGCACGGCTGCGATATTTTCAGCGGACACATCCGACCTGATTACCCTTCCCGGGGAAAATGATACTGTCATGTACTAGGTTCATCGACAAACAGCAGATCAAGTGGTTTCACCATCTCATTAGAATGAGGAAATACAGATTGGTAACAGTAACCACCGCCAGCCAGCGAGCCCTGAATTGCAGATTATTCATCCCCACAGCATTAAAGGCAGAAGTGGTTTATGATGATGATCAGAAGGTGAAAGATAGAGAACAATGATATGCACAGGTCCTTTTATGAGTACAACTGTTAATCTTCAAAAGCTTTCACTCGTACACTTCTCTCAACAAGCAGGAGTCTGTGACCTTGAGAGGGCATTAACTAGCTTTTAGAGCGTCTAGGTTAGAACATTTCACAAGGTCTAACATTGATATTACGAGCAATCAGTGTAATGATGTAGTTTTTTATGAGACAGCTTGCAGAGTAACCCGATGGCTTTGAGAAAGGGTATTTTTAAAGAATTTTACGGAGCAAAAGGGTTAATAGGAATATTTTGCTATAATATGTGTATATCTAACTAGTACTGACACCCTTCAGTGTCTACTGAGAGAGACAGGACACTAATGGATGTGTTGTAACATTGCTAATATTGAGGATCAGAGAAGGGTTCTGTCCAAACAGTTAAGAATGTGAGGCTCTTATTCAGGAGACCAGGTCCTAATCCTCGGTTAGGTGGTGGATTTTTTTGAGTCAGGGGCACATACAGAATCCTAACCTGCACAGTCCCTGGCGACTGCACTAGCTATGCAATCTTCCTCTTCTTCTTTGTGTTCACCAGCTTTAAACTCTGGTAAAAAGTTCTGGTTGTTCATCCACTTCTAGACTGCAGTCCTGTTCCAGAACCTGAGTGTTGTGTTAGCATCCATTTGACAGATCTGACACATTTGTGTGCAGACTGTTGGTTCCTTACCTCTCAGGCAGATGCACTCTGACTTCAAAGGAAGCTCCCAATTAGTCGACTCTTACGACATGCTTTTGAGTAGGCAGTGGGTCTATTCTTGTTTTCTCTATAATAGAGCCCCAGAACCCACTTTATACCACCCTAAAATCACAATTACAGGCAGCAATGAGTTTGTCTTTTTAAACCAGTAACTTCTTGTTTCCCAATTTTCTTTTGTTATTGATTTCATGTCACAAATATAATCTAGTCTTTTTTAATATTTTTTTTTTTTTTCAGCTCTGTAAGTGGCGAGGGATTAGCATTCCTTCAGACGTTTATTGCCTACTTGACTGGCCAACAGAAGATTTCATCCCTCAGTTAATTAGACACTTTCAATCAACTGTATCTGGCTATTATTTTAGATATTGTACAGCTTGTTTACTGTTTCTCTAAATATATATGATATGTTTATGTAACAGCTATAAAGAGTAAAATTTACCGACCCTATAATGCTGTTGTCACACCGGGAAAGCATGTGGGGATAGAAACATGCTTTTACAGATCAAATGGCATTTATTGTGCCTATGACCATAAGCCAGCTGTGTAACAGCTAACATTTTCTGGCTTATCCAGGTATTACTAACTAGTGTAACTCTGTCATTTTAAAGCAGTTGTTTACTAAAACAAATGTGGTTTTTGAGAAAAATGCGGGAAATTTCATAGAAGGATTGCAGAGACAGGCAAAAGTCGTAAACTTAGAACAGTTAGGCATACACAGTCAGTATTGGGGGGGTGGGGTGTAATATTGTGTGTCAGAGAAGGAATGGCCTTTATAACAACTAGCAAGATTGATGCAAAGGAGAGCAAGAGATAGGCCTGGCCAGATGGATGGGGCGCGACAAAAACATTGAACTGATCTGTGATTCTGGTGATCCTGTGAGATGGTGAAATAGCACAGCTTACACCTACAGGCACAGCCAATGAAAAGATGTGTGGAACAGTGAGAGTCAAAGTAATTATCAGATTGAATTAGTATATTAACTGTTTGAGACAAACATTAACTGATTTTCCATTATTTTTGTTTGTTGTTAAAATGTGCCAACTGTAAGCTGTCCTTGTAATAAACAAATGACACACAACCAGTAATGTATGTAGATGGGACATACAACATATACATTGCATACATGTTTACACTGTTATAAATTAGTTAGCATCCTTTGGATATTTTCTTCAGGTCATGCTGGTGGAAAATGAGCAGACAGATAGACTGGCCAGCTCTGCACCACTTGGTGGTGAATTGACAAGCTAGATATTGTGAGGGCCTTTTGGGAACGAGTGAACAGTGCGCAGGTGCAGATAGATCATTATGGTCTGAGAAAGATGGTGCTGCGAGGAGTTACCAGGGAATCTGGCCAACGCTCAACTTACAGGGGAAGGATGAGACAGATATACAATGGGAATCAGACGGCTACTGATGCCATCGGAATTGGAACTTCGCTTGCTGCAGAAGATGGGAGCAGATCACTTATGGGAGTGTGCTGTGATGTCAATTCTTAATTCAAAATTCAACTATTATAAATTGATTGCATTCACAGTGTTTATGTTACTGAATTGAGTTGATTAGAATTTCTGTATTATCCTGTATATTCTGTTATAGAATTGTTATCTTTTGTTTTCAATAGTGAATTTTTCTTGTTGGAAATAACTTTTTTAATTTAAAAAAAAATTTGTTTAATTAAATAAGTTAGCACAGCACGTAAAGATAAATTTTATGCCCTTTCCCAAAAAGTGTAGTTCTTGTTAGGCTGGATCAGGCTAAAAATATGTGCATTCAAATCTTACAACCACTGTCCCCCTTGACTTAGCGATAACTTGCCAACATCAGCATCACTGTAACAGGGATCTTCAAATCAACCATCACCAGCTCTGCTAGGAGCTCTGTTACAGAAAGAAATATCAGTGGTCATCCACACCAGAGTTGGCTTCGAGTATATACAGATAGATGAACCGTTCTCTCCATCATGCATTTCATCACCTTCCTGCCATCTTCTGACAAAATAGAGGGCTTAACAACCTTATTATTATATGAACATAACATGTTTTATTGATAACATACAACTGTTGTGTGAAAGATGGGTGTCTGGAAGGGCCAAATGTAAGACTGTTCTGCGTGCCCAATTTGTCAATCTTTGAAAATAAAGTTCGTTGACCGACAAATTTTCATTAATTTTTCCAGTGTAGAAATCATAGATCTGTCCCTGATTTGCACCTGAAAACGCTGAGCATATACTTCAGTGCTATAAATTGGTATGCTGCTGAAGGAGAAGCAATCTGGCTTGTTCCCATCTTAAAGACAAAACTCTGGTGCACAGGGAGATTGCATGCTAGCTTTCAACAAAGCTAGTGGCCAACTGATGTAAGTGTTCTGACAGAAGGATTAAACAAAAAAAGAAGAAGAACCTAAGTCTAAAATTTTCCCCCTCTGTCTCTAACGGCACCTCTTCTTCAGACCACATCATCTCATAGTCATCATCATCATGTAGCAGCAGGTCTTTTGCAGAATGCTAATCTTGTCACTGTCTGCCTGAAAGAAACTGTCTTTCGCCTGCTCTCCTGCCTTGAGCACTTTCCTACCCAAGATGTCACTTATATTTGGTTCCTCTTTCCTGGTACAATTATTCTTTCCAATCCGCTGTGGCACTTGAAATGGCTAAAACATTTCAGTTTAATTGCTTGGCATAGGAGATAACCACATCCAGCATGAAAATGGAGGTTGAGATGGTAACTGGGAGGAGGCAACAAGTGAAATAGAAGATACTGAAAATCCAAAGGTAGTTTGATTGATGCAGCCCGGAGTGTCTGTCGGCTCTGGGCACCACTCAAGACTTGGAGGGAAAAGCAAGACAAGTAGCTAAACAGATACCATCAGAATGGAGACAGTTCACTGGCTGTTGAGAAAGGAGAGGAAGCTAGTATGGGCTTATCCTCATTGCTTTAATGTCGAATCTTTACCCACATGAACCACTAAGTCAGATGAAAAATTCGGGACAAAGCCTCACAGATAAACATACGGCTTGGTCATCGCTGAATTTGGTCTAAATCATTGGCATATTACCCGTAGTTAAATGCTTATTCTTTTACAGGACGTTGCAGAACCAAGCCTAGCACATTTTGGCTGTTGTGGTTTTTACACAACACAGAGAAGCTATGTTTTCCTAATGAAACACCTTATCACAATCTGTTTGGTTACTAGAATGTTACTATCACACGCTAAGATTCTACACCATCCAACTATATCATGTCTCCTGTCCGCTGTCCGAATCCCTTGCCCCAACACCTGGTGGTCTTTTTGTCACCCTCCGATACCTCAATTGGGACGATGTAGAAACTGTGCCCGCCAGTGGAGCGTTCAATTCAACCACGCCTTACCGCCGTCTCAACTGTATCAGGCTGAACTGTTTTTTCTATCAACCATCCCAGCGCATACATGGACAGTCATGATTCCACCATGCTGACCTTCACGTACACACAGTACACCGTCTCTATGGTATGTACCGCCCCATGACTGTATAAACAGGGTTCTGACATAGCAGTTGGGACATTCCGATAAGCGCCCCGACCCCATGTTTAGCAGGCAGCGGGGAATTGGTCCCAGTCTTATTCATTATCTGTTAACCAGCTTCCAGCAAAAGCTACTGCCAACTCAACATCACAGTCAATGATAAATGTAGTCGATAGATTCACTTGACACTATCAACGATGAGGTCAGTGCTAGAATCTCAAAGGTCAGCAGCTCGGCAGACTTTATTTATACCAGTGCTTTTCTCAAAGTGGATTCTGGGGTGGGAAGTATTTGTCGCGGTCAAATTTGAGGGAGGGGTAGGCGTTGAAACAGGTCGGGGATGCCTCAGGTAAAGTTAGGGAATTTCTGTGTGTGTGTATTAGCTGTCGAGGAAAAGTCGCGGGGGGGGGGGGGGGGGGGAGATTTCCCCAGAATTGTGATTTACATAACTGATATTCACCAACACATACTCAACGTATATATAAGTAAAGATCCCATTTTTCACGCTTTTAGACGCATCGGGTATATAGGAACAGCACCCACATTTTACAATCTATACTATGTGGGTAATGTGGTCAGCATTACGCCGGCCGTCTTTACTTCCCCGTAACAGCCATCCTAATACCCATTTTAGGCTGGGTCGACCTGCGACGCCCCATGACATGATAAAAATCCACGCAGCCAGCAGTGGATTTCGTCGCGGTACGTTGGAATTACAAGTCGGACTTAAAACGCCTAAGCCACGGACGACGCAAAGGTATATATGTAGATTTTTTTCTTCTTTGTTCACGGGCTGTAAGCTCCGGTGAAAAGTCCTGGTTATTTAGACTTTGGCTTTGTGCCAGGGCCTGGGTTTTGTGTGTATATCTGTTTTACTGACTTACTTGTGTGCAGTTAGTTGTTTCTTACCGCTCGGGCAGTTTGAAGGAAGCTCCCAGTTAGTCGCCTCTTACTATATGCTTTTTTTTTTGTGTGTGGAAAAGGGGGGGGGGGGGGGTTATGTAATGTTATGTTATCACAATCGACGTCTTTGCACATTGGGCATTCCCAGGTGTGCTCAGTCCTGCGATGCAGAAGCCACTCCAAGGTACCTCAATTGATTCCTCGGTCACTCAGTCGTGTGTGGGTCTATGCTTGGTCCCCCCCCCCCCACAATGGGGCGTTGGAACCCACAGGGGAATATATGCAGATCTCTTTACCTTTTGACTGCCATGGAAAACACCCCCACCAGCTTCCTAGCTACTTCAAAAGCCAGCAGAGAACTCTACAAAGAATTGAGGTCTAATACTCAAACAGTAGCCACATAAACAGCATATTCTCTCTCCCTACACAAAGAAACTTAAAGCACACTTTGCTGTTTGAGCCTCGCTGACTTTGCCACATGTAGTTCTGCGCGTTCACCGTCTATAAATTCGGGCGAAAAGTTATGATCTTTTGACTGTTTCCAGGACTTGGGTGTTGTATGTACATCTGTTTTACAGATGTAGCTTAACTGTGTGCAAACAGCTGGTTCTTTACCTCTCAAGTAGATGAATTCGACTTCGAAGGAAACTTCGATCCTATCTACGTCACTTAGTCTCCGGTTGGAAACCTGTCTGTAGCATGACGGTGGAGAGGTGTAAATAGGTTTGACCAGTATGCGTCCACGGGTGGTTCAGCACGTCTGTATTGCCAAGACATTTTTTTACATTTTCTTGTTTATGTAGTGATTAGTGGGGCTATCGCCACAGTACACTGGACAAGTACAAGTGCATCGGTGCTCCAGTTTCCTCCAGACTAGTCCATATATCAGGGACTGTATCTTATCTGACTGAGCCAAT